TAGTATGAACTTTAAAAAATGAACAAGAGAAGCTTCTAATTTAAAGGACAACTGTTTGTGTTTAGTTAGACAAGGCAACAGAAATTTCTCCAGCTAGCTCACACCCTCTAATTTATGCTTTTGTTATTTCATGTACAACGTGTACATTTAGCTATAGGTTTTCTTATTTTATTTTTTGGTACAGGGTATCAAACTCAGGACCTTGCACTTTCAAGGCATTTGTGGCACCACTGAGCTAATTCCCCAGCCCAGCTATAGGTACTGAGGTTTATCAGATATCCTAACAAATCAGTGAATCTATCAATTACAGTATTTTTTCTTTATGATTCTTATAGGGAGACTAGGTTGGATTTCAGAAGTCATTTAGTTGGACATTTAGCTACCAGCAAATCTATACTCAAGTCATCCCAGATGAGGGGTTTTTACTTTTACTAATTCTGAATTTCCACACCCTTGTTCAGTAATCTGTTAGCATATGTCACATCTGTTAATATACGTCACTCTTTGTATTTGCAGATATCACCTCTGAAGAGTTCAGAAATATTCTCAGCATCATATAAAATGGGACAGAAAGTTTTTTCTTTCTTTGTTGTTTTCCAGCCTAGACAGTTTTACTATGTCATTTCATTTAGGACATTGCAATATATAGTGATAAATACTCCAGAAACGACGGTGGTGCTGGTGGGCATTTAAGAGTAGATTAGAAAACTGACAGTCCCATGCCAAAGGAAACTAGCCTCTAAAGACAGGAGCTAAAGAGGCGACCCAATCAGTCTTTACTTCTATAATTTCCCTGATTATATATCTCCTTTTACCGCATGTGCTATACCTAGAAAGCTCTCCTAGACAGAGACCTAATCAAGAAGGCAGAATACTGACACAAGGCAATTTAAATGAGAGCTGTGTTAGGCAAAGATATGTGACCAACAATGAGACCTAAACAACAGGGAAGCCCCTCCGGCATAAAAAGTGGCTGGACCAGATAACATACTGCTGTGGATTTCAAAGGAAACGAAGACAGAAACAGCTGAATGTCAGCTCATAGTTGGGAAACTTCATTAGAGAGGGCAACTTTCCTGAGGACTGGGGTGTGGCAAACTAAGCCACAACAATTTATATTACATTCTCTGCTTGACTTAGCAGATGGAGACTGGCACCTCCGTGGCTAGAATTCTTGGTTATGAGATATACATTGAGTGTCCCTTACCTGAAATGCTTGTATTTTGTATGTTTTCAGATTTTAGAATATCTGCACATATATAATGAGATATCTGGGAGATGCAACTCAAGTTTAAATATGGAATTCATTTAAGTTTCATATGTACCTTACACACATAGCCAAGGATGTTTGATGCAATGCTTTTAGTGGGTCTGTGTTTTTTCACTATAACCTGTCACATGAGGTCAGGTGTGGAATTTTCTACTTGCAGTGTTAAATTAGCGCTCAGAAGTTTCAGACTTTGGGGAATTTTGGATTTTTGGATTAGGGATGCTTAGCCTGTATCACAAACAGACACAAGAGTCCTGGAAAGCAATGTAAATCTCCATAACGCCTTGGGGACACTGAAATCATCAAGTATTGATGCATTAGTGCAGCAGGGCGCTAAAGATGCACGCTAATGACTTACGTAAGAAGGTTTTCTTTCTTTTAACAGTTTAAATTAACTTTTCATATGTTCATCTCATCCTGAGTCCTTCTTTGGACTTTAAGCAATTGCGCAGAGGGGATAAAAGGGGGAAACTCTGGGGCCTAATTGCCTGTAATCAATTTTGGCTTCTCAGTAGCTACTTAAGAGCTGTATAAATAGGAGAAAGCATTTCAACTACTTAAAGCCTCAGTTTTTCTATCTACAACATGGGCATGATAATAGATTGCAGAGAGGAGGTTTTTAAATAATGACTTATGGATCTGGAAAAGAGAATAAAGTATTCAGCACAGTGCCTGTCAGGGTTTAATCTGTAATTACTGTCAGTGAGGACACCAGATAAAAGACACTGAGAAAATAAGAAAAGCCCATGTTCCAAGGTCCCAGAAAAAATGGAAAGAAATAGTGACCTGCACAAAACAAGCTTTAACATCTTAGATCTGTAACTAAGGGAAAGGAAAGATGCATACAATGGTAATAAATTAAAGGGGATATCGAGAGTATAGAGAAATTATCATTGCAGTTTCTTTTTATTTGTGTTTATTGTGCAGTGGTGGGTGATTATCAGTTTTACTGGAGTGTTTTATAAGCTGCTAGATTTATGTACTAAAAATGAGCAGATAGACAGGGATATTATTCAGCTGTGTCATGCCTTGGGTTCTCATCAGATTTTCCATAATGAGGGATGTTCACCACAGAGCAAGAAAGGTGGAATGGCTGCTGGGTCTGTGAGATGATTCATTCAGCTGGGGGCAGCAGATGAAACAACTCTTTCAGGTAGTAGTTCTGGGGAGGGGAATAAGGCAATGGGTAAAGTCTCTCATGGCCTCTTGAGAAATACTGACTGACAAGGTATGTCAGGAGTATGGGCTCATTAATACAACATTGTTTGATAGGATCTGGAATAGCTTCTAAATTTTTTCCAATCCTGTTTGTTCAAGATTTTACTTTGAAACAATTTTGTTTCTCAAAGGCCCCTTTTGTAGCAAGGTATCTTTAGTCCTAAGTGCACGTTGCTTCACAAACATTTTTCTTCCATGTGTTCTGTGATAGTCCCTTTTTATTCACCGCTCAGAAATGATGTCACCTCCTCATAGAATCACTTTCTGTGATCCTCCTCTCTAAAGCGCTCTCCACAGCTCCCGTAGATCACCCTCTCAGATAACTTCACTCTACTTAATAGTGTAGCATGGTAGTTAACTTCATGGGGTGTGGAGCCAGACTCCCCAAGCTCAAGTTCTGCTAGCTCAGTATGTGATACTATGTGTTCTACTGAAACTCTCAGCCTTAGTTCCTTTATCTGTAAAATGAAAACAACATTTTCCTGTAGGATTATTGTGAAAGCTAGAACAAGTAAACTATATCAGGCCCAGTATACCACAGGGATATTTGATGTTAGCTGTTGTTGGTTTGATATTCAATACTCTCTGAAATTACCTTCTTTATTTACTTGTTATAGTCCCTCTCCTGCTGCTAGAAGTAAGCATCATGAAAGCATTTTTTTATTGCTCAGTGCTGGGCTTTTAGGATATAGAACAGGTTCCATGGTAGGAACTCAATAAACCTTTTTTGAATGAATGAATGATCTATTGGTATAAAACATCCACTTGTCTAACTTAAGGTCAGGCAGTAAAAATAGCTTTACAAAGGTGCCTGTATGGCAAATCAAACAGCACCACAAGATAACTTGGTCTCTTGCCTAGACTGAAACTCTTTTTCTCCATTTCTTCTTACCTATACATGCATTTTATTTGCAGATCCAATAATCTGCAAAGCTTTGTAATCCCTAGTTTGCAGTATGAAAGAATAAAAATTAAATTTTCTAGTGATATTGAGTTATGCTAATGGTTGCTTTTTCAAACAATATGTCACTCTTATACCAGGGATATACCCAGATAAGACAATAAAAGCCAGAAAAGGTGAAGAAAGATGCTGAGACAGAAAAGTAAGAACTGAAAGGAAACCTCATGGCTCTTAAACTCTGGAATGTAAAGAATGCCTCTTTCTAGCATTGAAATAATAACAGTTTTGACATCTGTAGTCTGTTATAAAATTCCAAACTTGCTGATGCTATGCAGTTAACATTTAATAAATGCACAACGTTTAGCAAGTTAGGGAAATACAACATGGTTGTAAGATCTTAGGCTAAAAGGTTTTTCTTTCCCCAAATACAGTACAATGTTTTGCAACAAGACTCAGAAGGGTGAAGCTACTGAAGGCAGAGCTTCCCAGTCACCTCTTTAGAGCTTTACAACTGAAAAAGGTCAAGGTTGTGCATCACATGCCTTTCAGCTTGTAGGACAGCGGCACTAAAGGTCGTCTTTGGAAGGGTCTGACTTCCCACCTCCTTCCTTTCTTTTTTCTTTTTTTTTTCCTGAAGAATTAATGTCAGAGAAGGTGCCCTTCTCTGACTTTATATAACTGCTAGTCTCCTGATGTCTTACATAAAAGTTTTAAGGCTTGATGATCACTCCTGACAATGCTATAGTCACACTAAAGAACTGAGTTGTCAGAAATTCTAAAATCTAAAACTGGGAGAGATTCTGCTGGCCACCTTGCTGGTTCATTCTGTTACAGTTTGCCTTCCTACATACAATACATATTGTTTAAGAAATTGGTTAGTGTGCTGTAACACTGATAAGATTCAGGTTGCCAAAGGCATTTCATAAATTTGTAGATCTTAATTTATGTTGCTATAGTAACTGAAAGTTGGAATTTCTTGAGATTAGAAAATTTTTTATTCTTTTATAATAATAATAATGTAGTTTAATTCCAGACTTTAGACTTTGCTCATGAAGAGCATATACTTTGCACACTGAGTATTCTGTGTATACTAAAGTATGACTGAGTGTTCAATAATTTTAACTTCAAAATTAGTGTTTCTAAAATCCAACACTTTTTGTATCTACATGTGTAAGTCTATATGGCCATCATGTTATTAAATTGGATAATCTTTCTCGTAAAGAAAGGGAAAATTTAGAAGTAGAAGTGAGAAAAGAAAAGTGGAGCTCTCATAAGTAGCAGTTCTAGAATACTCACTTTAAGGACTGATGTACATTTGGCTCACTTTTTCATACAGAGTGAATTTCTAGCAGGTACTGAAGCACTTGGTGTATTACTAACCAGTGATTTAAGAAAAGACATGACCTTGGGGCATTAGAGCACCTGCAATGTCTAAAATGATAAGGAGGCAGAAAGACACCTACCTTCAGACAGGAAGATGAGTAGGACCTAATGAGTTGCTCAAGGTCACATGTGTTAATTATATGGACCCAAATGCAACTAAATAACTCAATGCAAATTACCTACTATTGGCTGAGAAAGAAATGTTTCCCCTCCAAGAACCCGGCTTACCTTATATCCTGATGATTTGATGTGCACACCTCGTTTGGTCAGAGTAGATTTCATTCGGATGAAAAAGGAACGCTCAAGAGTGTTGTCAGTGGTTAGCAGACTGGGGCTGGTTGACTCCACTGAGGAATACAAAAATACATACACATGTAATTTTGATCTTTACACAGCTCCTCTTAGCTACTGCTCAGGTGCAATCCTCGAGTTCACTAAAGATAAATCATGGATGGGTGCTAAGAGCACAGTAATCAGTCTACCTCATTTCGAAAATGTTTAATTTGCAGAAAATAAAAAAGAAAAATTAATATATCTAAAGTAACTTCTTTCCAGTGGTTAGTGAGTTTTTCAGGTCTCTTGCAGCAGCAACTTTAGTAGAGTCTAACAGTACGTAGGTAACTGAAACTCATTTTAAGGCTTGGCTAGTATACCTGGAGAATACTTTTGGCAAAAAGGAGGTTCCCCAAAGATTTATGTCATAGACCGAGATACAGGCAGAGGCATGCTTCTGATGAAGGGTAGGGAACTGTTTTTTGTTCTCCTTTCCAAGCCTTTCTATCATGTCCCTACTGGGGAGTTCCAGAAACCACAAAATTTGCAAGATTTGGTAGCTCTGTCTTGATGAATGTCTCCAACCTCCTGAGTTGGATTTTTACATTGTGGGGTACAAAATGTATGAGGTCTTCTCAATTGCCTCCAGATAAAGGAATGGGGACGGTATGCACAGATGGAAAGAAATGAAAAGTACTTATGATTTCAACTTACCATTCCTGTCTCTATGGCATCTTGCCCCAGCCCTTCCCAAATAGGAAATAGTCTTTCCCCCCACACTTTTCTGCTTGTGATATGAGAAAATAAATTCCCCTTCTTAAAATAGTTACCTTTCTCTTTTATATGTTTTTAGATGCAGTAGAGTGTTTTGACTTATATGAAACTGAATTACTTTGCAATCTTGCTAATATAAGAACACTTATGCAAACAGGACAAAGCCTGACATAAGTCTATTTTCTTTTTTTTTTTTAATTGAGTTTATTGGTACTTTTAGGTATACAGTACAGTTACATTCATCATTAGGATCTTGTACCTTTACATGACAGGTCTTGGTTCTCATTTTTTCCCCTTGTCCCTGCCCTCCCTTTATCCCCTCCTCACTTCCCTATTTACCAAAACTTTAATAAGTCTATTTTCTTTAAGAACAAATTTCTAAGGTATTTTATAAATTAGGTCTTCCTGCAAAGAGATTAATTTGGGGGCTTCAAGATTAGTAAATACTCTAGTTTTACTCTTACATATGAAAAATCTTCTTATTCAAAAGTTAAAAAAAAAATGGACAAAACCAATTAGGACTTGTTTCACAAGTCCTATACTCAGTAATTCTCTCTGGAGCGGAGGTAACGAAATACGCATAATAAAGAGATTTAAGAATGTATATGTGAAAATAGCTATTAAAATAGATATAAATGGGTAAAACAAGCTGAAATTTTGAATTATGAAATGTAATTCATATATTTCTAAAGGTAAGTCATCTCTATTTCTCATATTAAACTTAATGCTCAGATAAAAGAAGAATGAAGTCTACTCTAATAACAGAAACTGCTATTTATGGCCTAGGGCTTATCTTGTACCATTCTTAAGACTATATTTTCCTCTATTTACAGCATTTTTATCCTGGGTTGATGGAACAACTGACAAATGTCCCCTTCTTATATGTCTCTCTTAAGGTTTTCCTTTCTTTCTTTTTTTTTTTTTTTTTTGTTTTAGAGAGCTTGTCTGTTTTCCTTAAGAATGTATATGTGAAAATAGCTATTAAAATAGATATAAATGGGTAAAACAAGCTGAAATTTTGAATTATGAAATGTAATTCATATATTTCTAAAGGTAAGTCATCTCTATTTCTCATATTAAACTTAATGCTCAGATAAAAGAAGAATGAAGTCTACTCTAATAACAGAAACTGCTATTTATGGCCTAGGGCTTATCTTGTACCATTCTTAAGACTATATTTTCCTCTATTTACAGCATTTTTATCCTGGGTTGATGGAACAACTGACAAATGTCCCCTTCTTATATGTCTCTCTTAAGGTTTTCCTTTCTTTCTTTTTTTTTTTTTGTTTTGTTTTAGAGAGCATGGATCTGATGTCATTTTAAATGTACAGCTTTTTATCACTCGAGGGAAAAGCAGAGCCATGTTATATTTAGTACTTTCATTTCTTCTGATTAAATATGAATTACTATGAAATTTTTCTCATCATCTAACACGCCATAATATGCCAACAGCTTTTTAATACACTATATAAGCACAAACTTCTGCTCTAAGAGTTTAATTTGCCCCTCTAATCCAATCACATCAACCTTATTTCTCTTATCAGAGATTCCCATTTTGAATTAAATGAGCTCATTAGTTTTAATCAAAAGCAGAGAGATCAAAACTTAAACGTAAATGCTTTAGATCAGAACTGTCAGTCAGCCGTGCAGTTCTATTTTACTAAAACACAAGATCAGAGACCCTTAGAACCAATTTTTTCTCGTAAGGGATGCCGAGAGCTTGAAGATGCTATATCCTTTTTTTCTTCCCAAGGACAGATTATACATTTAAGGTTAGACTTAATTTATAGCACTTTTTTTCATCCTGGTGGAAATGGAAAAGTATGCCTATCTATTGTTGTCCCTTTCACATTTATTGGCACTAGTCCTCAGAGACTTGAACTAACGTGAAGCCATCAGAATCCACACCACAAATCCAGTCTTAAAAATTCAGCTCTGTTCAGCAAGATCGTGTTTGCAATAGCTAAGGAAAAATGAAACTTCCCAGAGAAGTGAAATATGTTTTAGGGCTGGGGTCCTGGATACCCTAACCCAGAAAGAAAGGAAACACCTAACTGTAGAAAGGAGGGTAATGCAGGTGTTGTGACCAATCATTTCTGTTTCGATGTGGGAATTGCACAGTCAAACTCAGCACACCTGAAGGAGAGACCACAGCACAGATTCTTCCAACTAGGTGAAGACACAAGCTTCTTGGGAGCTGTGAAGCCTCACACTGCATTATGCCCCAGCTGCGGCAGGAGTACATCACCCTGCCACTGTGACAACAGGAACTGCCGAAACATGCAGGGTTGTGTTAATTACATAGGGACGGCTGGTCAGAGAGGAATGCTGATGTCAGGCTTTGCCCCATTGAAGCTGAAATTTAAAAATCTAAACTGGTCTTCAAACTTTATTTCAAGAGGAGAGGGTATGAGAAGCCTGTGAGAAGGAAACTGGGCAATGTGGAAAGGAGCTTGATTTCTGATGATTTCTAATTAATTTACTTCCTTATGACTTCATAGTTCATAGAGGAAAGGACTTCATAGAAGAAAGGAGCAGAAGTAACATGCCAGGTTGTCCTTTCAAAGGATCATGTAACAAACGAATTCACTGCCCACACACCACAGCCATGCTTCCTCAGGGGCTACGACATACACTTGGTTTTTCCAACCGTGGTAATAGTGTCTCTCATGTGAGAAGGTGTACTCTCTGCATGTGACAGGCCACAGAAGCAGTTTCAGAAGAGATGTGTCCTGATTGTCTCAGGTGAGAGACCCATCGTGATGAAGAGTCTGGGGGAGGGACAGCCAAGGCAGCATCGTAATGGTGGTTGACAGGCCTATGGTGCTGAAAACAGAAGGAACGTGCGGAAGAAGTGAAGGGGGAACGGGCATGAGAAAAGTCTGCTTAGGACCCATGCTCTCTACAGACAATAGTACTACTTATGTTGAAATGTCACTTTAGAATGGCTACTAGATATGAAACACTTTCCTGTCAACTTTTAAAGGGCAGCCAAGGTTGTCTCATGCTTTGATAAGAAACCTGGGATTCAGAGGAGTTCCACCTGCTGTCTGAGACCCAGGAGACATTGCGGAAAAGCTGGACTAGTGGTCAAAGCTCAGTCATGCCCAGTTTCTACTTCTGAATTATGAACTAGAGGCTGAAGAACAAAAACAAGGTCCTCCCCAGTAAAAAACCTAAATAAAGAAATATGTAGTATTCTTTTTGTTGACACACTTTTTTTGACACACAAGGGATTTAACTGTTTAATTAATCTAAATTAACTCAGTTCTTGAAATGTCAGTTTTTGTATATTTTGTAAAATTTATGAAACAATTTATGGCAAAAAGAAAATCTTTGCCAGCTACTCTTCCCAGAAGAATAAAATCTAGAATACAGTATATAAAGAATTTTAAAAAAACCTAACATCTAGAATACAAAATACAATGTGGGCAAAGACACAGGTAAAAGGAACCCTTTTGCACTGCTGCTGTGCTGTAAATTAGTACAGCCATTACAGAAATCAGTATGGAAGTTCCTCAAAAACCAAAAATAGAGTTCCAGTTTGATCCAGCTATACCACTTATTGGTATATACCGTAAGAAATTAAAGTCAGCAAACTCTTACATACCTGCATGCCCATGATCATTGTGGCACCATTCACAGTAGCCAAGACAATGGAACCAGCCCGGGTACCCACAGATGAATGGATAAGGAAAATGTGGTATTATACACAATAAATATTATTCAGCCGAAAGAACAGATTTTTTTCATTTTCAGGAAAATGGGTGGATCTGGAGACCATCATGTTAAGCAAAGTAAGCCAGACTTAGAAAGAAAAATACTGCATTTTCTCCCTACTGGAGTCCAAAAAGAGAGGACATGAAAGTAGAAGGGAGACTATTATTACACAAGAGGAGGAAAATAAGAAGGACAGGGAGGTGGTATAAGGGAAAGTAAGAGGGGGTTGATATGATCACAATATATGCATTGAAACCCAGCATTTTATAAAAGTAATGAGTGTTTATAATAAAAATCCAAAAACATTAAGAAAGTTTTATTCATTTAAGTGCCACCATCATGTAAAATCCTATCTCTGTTACTCCTTAACTGTTCATGATTCCGTAACTGGTGGTGTGGCTGTTGCTGTCCTTATCATTAGGGATGTGTAGGAAGGAAGGGAAGGCTAAACCATTCTAGTTCTTATTGGGCTGAAACTAGTGCTACATCCATGCTGAACAGGTTCACTATTCTCTCTAGGGTTTCTGTAAGTACATGAGGCCAAAGCATAAAGAGGGCCTTTTTCTCTAGCATACTCCAA